AAAGAACCCAGTTTATTTCTATTTACTTTTTTTGTACCTAGTTCAGCTTCTATAATCATCTCCAGTCCTGCTAACATAAAGAATACCTAACCTCTCTCTGTTTTCATCTAAGATGGAGATGGTTCAGATTTTACAGCTGGATCTTCTGTATTCAAAGCCAGAGGATCAAAGTTTTCTGCTATTATTGAGTCCACATTCTTAGGTGTTATGCTAGACAAAACCAACCACTATATAATTTTCTAGGGAATGATATGAATATCTGCAGACGGTTTCCCTCTCATTCTATTAATATACCATGAAGTCAACATGACTCCAACATCACACCAGCTATTTATTTTCTCCCCTTGCCCCCTTCTTCTTCTTCTTCTTCTTCTTCTTCTTCTTCTTCTTCTTCTTCTTCTTCTTCTTCTTCTTCTTCTTCTTCTTCTTCTTCTTCTTCTTCCTAATCCTACCTGGTGAAAAGAGCTGGAGAGCTCAAAAGCTTGCATCCATTTCTGTGCCTTTACCCTACCTGGTGAAAAGAGCTGGAGAGGTCAAAAGCTTGCATCCATTTCTGTGCCTTTTGGGTTGGCTTAATAAAAGTATTGCTGTAATTCAGATTTTGAAGCAAGTTTGGGTATTGTGAAGCACTTCATTACAAATACAGCCAACTGTAAATGTAGTTAGAAGATTTTTATTTCAACCAAGTAAAATAAAACTTCATTTTTTATAGAAGATACTTCAGCAAAGGCATGCTTTCTCTCTACTGATAGAACTAAAGCAGAAAGGTCATTGCTCCACCATATGAAATATCTACCATTTGCACAGCATAGTATAATATGCTGACAGCTCTCCAAGGTTCTTCATAAATCACCCAAGTAACATGGAGAGCAAACATTACTAGTTTCTAAAAGTACTGATTATCTATGTAAATAGCATGCTACATTTTTAAATGAAAGAGTCTAGACCAGTAGTTCCCAACCTTGGATGCCCAGATGTTCTTGGACTAAAACTTCCAGAAGCCTTCACTAAACTAGCTATCATGGCTAGAACATCTGAGGGCCCAAGGTTTGGAACCACTGGTCTAGATGTTCAGTGATTTATAATGATCTAATTAGAGTGGCCAGAATCCTGTTGCATAGCTACACCTGCATAACTCAACACTGTGCAAGTCATTACAAGGCAGAGGTCATGTCCAGCAAGCAGCTGTTCAACTAGCTGCACAATTAGGCACAACAGACTGCGTCAAACTTCCATAGGCATACATTTACATGGTGCCAAGTACAGCAGGATTTCAGACAATGATTATTAAATGATAATGATGACTAATTTGCATCCAATTTATGGTGACCCTATGTGAGATATTTTAAGCACTCTTGCCACTCATGAGTTTCCTCAGCAAAGCAAGGATCTGAATCCAAGTCTCCTGAGTCATCATGGAGCCTCAGCAGTTGACATCACACTGTCTCTCATTAAATCATAACAATACATAAAACGTCAGAATGTTCCTATGCAAAGCAAGGATCTGAATCCAAGTCACCTAAGTCATCATGTTACTATATCCACAACACCACACTGTCTCTCATTAAATCATAACAACAATACATAAAACGTCAGAATGTTCCTATTCACAATTTAATGATATCAGATGTATTTTCTCAGGCTGCTGTAATTATTTATGAACTAGCACACTTCTGAAAGGATTGATCATCCATGATATTTTGAGAGACAGAAGTGCACTTTACAAAACTGCATCCTTGTCTTGAGAGTTGAGAGGCATGAGGAAAAATGCACATTAAGAATAACAACAAGATTTTAAGATCTGTGCAGCTCCATAGCCACTCTTGCTAGAGTGTTCTTCGTAGGTTGTTCTCTGCAAGAAAGTTGAAGGCAATAGCTGGGATCCAATGGTTGCTGTGGGTTTTTCAGGCTGTTATCCATGTTCTGGAGGTTTTTCTTCCTAATGTTTTGCCAGTCTCTGTGGCTGGCATCTCCAGAAGACAGGAGCTAGAATTCTGTCTGTGTTCCGGTCAGTTGAAGGCAACTGCGACTTTGTTCCAAAGAATAACATTAGAAATTTGCATCACCATAATGTTTTCTAATGGGATGACACAATGATATAATCAGAATTCTAGTGCTTTTCAGAATTCTAGTATTGTTACCAAACTTGGTTGCACAAAGGATGAGCTAGGAAGCATTTCAAGGAGAGTATGCAAGTCCCATTCATTGTTACCAAACTTGCCTTATGGCTGTATCTCTCTCTCATGATGCAATTATGTGAAGGTCAAAATTCAACCATTATTTCAAGCAGAAATGCAGGTCACCATCAGGTCACCTAGTTCCTCTCTCACACAGTGATTTAGAGTGGAGTCTCTATGCATACTGATGACATCCTTACACAAAGCTGACAGGTCTGTTAGTCTGTGTGAGATACATACATTGAACCAGAGAGAGGCCTTTCCCAATTGTTTGTTTTCTCATGCAATAAATGTGCACTTCTTACTTGCTGCTCTGGATACAGAATTACCTTCATTACAAATTAGGATAGCACAATTGTTAGGAGCCAAGGCAGTATAAAGCTTGGACTGCCACACAAAAAAAAATCTGTTGAGTTCCCATTCAGGGTACTAGTCACTGAGCAATTTTGGATTAACTGCTTTCTCTAAAACTAGTGTGCCTCACACCTTTGGGATGAGGATGAGGGCTGGGAAGAACAATGTGTGTCACCCTTGATGTCTTTGAAGGAAGGATAGAATGTTCTAATGTTGTTGGCTGGAATACTATTGGTGTTTGCATCAGGTTTAAGTTAATTGCTGTGACAAATTGACAAAGTGTGTCTTAGTCACCTGCCTAGTCACGCACTTGACTACATAGTAAAGATGCATCCTGATACCTCATCAATAAGACACAAACAACTATGGTGAGTTACACAACCCTTAGATGATTACCACTAGAATTCTAGCCCCCTGAATAAATAATACATGGTCAAGTGGGGGGAAAAAACCATTGAAACGCATTGAAAACCGCTCAATGAGTTCCAATGGGCTAAATACCTAATTGTCCAGTGAAGATCCTCCATAGGGCGGCCATTTTCCGGTGCCTCTCTTGCAAAAAATCCATCCTAAAAACAGCGGGGAGCCATTTTGCACAGTGGGTGGCCATTTTGAGAGCCACCGATCAGCTGTTTCAAAACCATTGTTAAGTGAAAAATCGATCATCGTTAAGCGAATTTTACCTATTAAAACATCATTTTGCAATCGCAAAAACCTCATCAAGCGGATTCGTCATTTAACAAGGTAATCGTTAAGTCCGGGACTGTGGTGTAATTTATTTATTAAACTTGTGTACCACCCCCACTAGTGCAGATCCACTACTTTGGATGGTTTACGATCCGCTAAAACAATAGATTCATATTTAAATGAAACACAAAGTAACAATCAACACATCAAGTGGTGGAAATATGAATTTTAAAATGAGGGAATATAAACATATAAAGCAGCAAGGAACAGATCACACAGGGTTACCCAAAAAGGCTTTTTTGGTAAGGTAAGGTAAAGGTTACCAAAAAGGGTTACCAAAAAAGATCTTTTATAGGATGGGAGGGAGGGATCCAGGTGCAGTTCTACTAGCAGTTGATGCCATAGGGTTGAAGCCACCACAAAAAAAGGTCCTACGTCTATAGCAATCACCCTAGAACTCTTCACTATCCCTTCTAGTTTCAATGCCCCTACATGGGCTGCCGTCCACCTCAACATAGAGCACCCTGAATATCTCTCCATTTGTGAGAACAGCCCTTTTATTCACACTCCCTTCTTTCTGCATTTTAACCACACTTACTACTAATCATGTGACATCAAGTCAATGGCGACTCTTTTCAGGGTCTTCCAGGCAGAGAATACTCAGGCGTGGTTTACCAATCCCTTCATCTGGGGGCACTCCGGGACTGTGCAGCTTGCCCAAGGCCACACAGGCTGGCTCTTCTCCTGGGAGGCACAGTGGAGAACTGAACTTCCAGCCTCTGGCTCTGCAGTCAAACACCTGAGCTGTCCAGCCATACTAGGATCAGAATGGCTCCTGTTACTCAGAGACAGAGAAAATAGCTTTTCCTTAAACCAAAACTTCCAGAATACTTCAAGTACTCTAGAACCTGTGGTCTAAGAAAACAGCCTTCGCCTGCTCCTTATTTTGCTGCTCTTACCGGCTGCCATCAAGTCGCCTCCATCATTTGGCAACCCTATGTAGGCGTGATTTCCCAAATATGTATTCCCTCCTCAACAGACCTGCTCAGCTCTTGAAGACTCAGGGTTGTGGCTTCCTTGATGATGATGATGCTCCTATTGGCACCATACGTAGCTGCTTCTCTTCTTTTCTGCAGCTCCTATTATTTACTTAGACCTTTTTTTTCCTAAGACGTGTGTAAAAATTTAAGATCTTAGTTATAAATATCTACCTCTATTATTTTTGCTCTCCCATCTCGACCCCCCCAAAAAATATCCTCATTATCTTCCTGTCCTGTGTTTTGTGATCCGCCTTCCGTCAAACGCTGGACTCAAACCCACCCTTTCTCCTCGTTTCCAGGCTCTGCACATCCCCCTCCCTCCCCTTTTAATACTTCTTATAATTTTTATTTTAATAATTATTCCTGTAGCCAAGCTAGCCACCATCCTAGCCTTCTCAGGCTGCAGGGTGGCAAGCGCAACCCCCCCCCCCAGCCCCCAGCCGCCGCCTTTGCTGCTTCCCCCCCGGG